AAATTGATAACTCGGGTACGAGGAAAGCTAGAAAGCTGAAATTTTGGGGAATGTTCCCTATCCAAGTAGAATTCAAATATATCAAATTCAGTCATAATCTATGCGTAGTACTCACGTAAAGGCGCATGAAATTTTCTGTAGGGAAATTACTGACTCGGTTACCAGAAAAACTGGAAGGTTAAAATTTTAAGGGGATGTTTCCCGTTCAACTGCAATTTGTAAATTTCAAATTCAGCTTTCTGGGCACGTGGAGTACCGGAGTACGAACATGTGAAGATTTTGGCGAAAAAATTGCCAACTCGATAACCAGGAAAGCTGAAATTTTGGGGGAATGTTCCCTTTCCTAGTATTTTAAATTCAGCCTTGAGGTATGCATAGTTCTTACGAACGGACGCTTGAAAGTCTTGGCGGAAAAATTTCTCATTGAACAACGAGGCTACTTCTAAAGAACGACTGTACATTTACTTTGCAAAATTTATGATGATTTTTGCTAGGTAGGTGTAAAGCAACAGCCATTCATACAGTTAATGAACTGATTACTTCAAGTCGGTGCAAAAACACATGACCCTACGGGCCCACCTCGTGCGTTCCAGCCTGGGTTGTTACTGCTTGCTTTTTGGAGAATTACAAAAACTCGGCTCGGCTGATGACCTATGGTGCTTTAGCATTCCAGCGCTTCGTTCTATCATCTCTGCCAACACTATTCCGCGGCGCCGCTCGCTGGGACTTTGCCAGACACGCTGGGAAGCGCTGCCCCGTGTCTGGCGGCTGAATTACGTGGCTGGGAGAAGTGGGTGATGGGTGGGAGGACTGGAGGTGGTTAGGGGGTGTTGGTTGGTATCTGCCCAGACAAAGCTCAGAGGGCGCGATTGAGGCCAGAATAGTGGGGAGGAATGAAATTGCTGGTTAGGAGTTCAGGACGATAAACGGTAATAGTAGCTGGAGGTGATGGGTGTCCCGAGCCAGCTCTGGGGGCAGGGGTTGGGAACAGGATACAGGAGGGAAAGAAGAGTGCTACTCAGGAGTACGGAGCAAGAACTGCAGATAGTGGTAAAGAGGAAAATAAACCAACACGGCACTACAAAGAAAAGTAAATTAAAACAAACCTGAATTTGTGAATAAAAGGAATACATTTACTGAAACTTATGCTTAGGTGAAGTTAAGGGCAAATGAGTTCGGCAAGATTTACTGAAGCTTATGCTTAGGTGAAGCTGACGGCAAATAAGTCCAGTTGGATTACACAGGAATTGCAGACATTTCGACACTGTTGCCTCTTGCAGCCTGTAACTGTGCACAACAGTAACAATTTGTTTTTTTGTCTTCAAATCCTCACATGAGCAAAGGCTAACTTCATTCCCAGGTATCCATTCTACCCTGTTTTTGCCCATTTCATGGAACTTATTCGCTCTCAGCTTTACCCAAGCATCAGTTTCTTAAACAGGAAAGTCTGATGACGGGTTTTTGTGGAACAACTCTACCTAAATATCAATTTCATAAATAAAGAAGCCTAATGCCGGGTTTTTGTGGAATAACTTTACCTAAGCATCAAAT